AATTAACAGCGATGTTCAACAAAGACGCCAAGTAACTTTGTTGAAACTAACCAAGAAACAAAATGTCCATCCTTTTGTTAAAGCAGTTATATCATCACAGAAATAAGGTGTTTAAAACTGCTGCCTGCCCACATAACTTCCAACCAAAATGCACCGGCACTTACTATATGAAGCCACTTTGCAATAAGCCGTGTGTGGACACTGCTTGTGCACCTTTGATAATTTACTTCCTATCAGTGTCCCAGCAAAGTTAATGTCATCACAAGAAGAAAACCATTGCGTAAACAATTATAACATTCCAGAGAAGCCCACACTGCATCTCCACATGCTCAGCCGTAATTTAGAGAGTTCCATGTAAAATATAAAATAGCACACGCTTAATGGTTTCGCGAAAGTATAACGCAAAAATTATCATATCAAGCAACATTCTGCAGCCAACTCCGCACTTCATTCCTTCAATACCAAAAAAATTTACTTTCAAATCCCGTCCCAACTATTCAAAAGTAATCCACCCGCGCAGAACATTTAACTGGAAATACTAAAAATATGTTCCAACGTGCGTATTGCAGGTTGCGTGCAGAAAATTCACTTAGCAACATGAAAAGCTGGCATTGTTGCGATAGCAAATTTACCAAAGCACATACAACAAAACACTCATAGGTGCGCACACACAATTGTTCGTTTGTCAGCTGGCCTACTACCATGACAGAGCCAATGTGATAAATGCATCCTTTTGCACACAAAAGATGTGGTCCAGTTGTGTGATGGTCACTGCTTCGCCACATTGTAAAACGAAAGTGTTGTTTGACGCTATGCTCAACCGGACTGGGCGCGCAGGGCCCACGTTGTCTCTCTGTCTAAGTGTCGGGAGATTGACAAGGTCGGAAAATTGTGTGGCAAATCGTTTGCACCTAAGGCGATATTTGACGTCGAATGCAAGACGTGTCGTCTCAATCACTTTGGCAAATGCTCCGCCAATCTCACCAGCAGCTACGGCTCTGTCCTACCAACTTACTCGGCCTTGCAACCGATGTAGATTGATAAAGAACGTGTGAACTTCTGGCTAGAAATACTGGTGGATTAACTGACAGAGTATGGATGCGAGTTGTTGTGTACAGTAATACCACCGCAGGGTACAAGCGTGTCTCTGCAGATTTCGGAAGTATTTAAAATACTTAGCTTATATCTCCCACTTAAACGGTAGTTGCAGTATTGCATTCAATTTCGGTGCGGTGAGTAATTTCTCGTCTGCTGTCTGGTTGTTATCTTTATGTGAAAACAGGCCGTAATCCGCTGCTTGTCACGGTGTTGGTGCGCAGTTGTATGTCGTTCTGGAGCGTGTCAGGCCTGCATAATATTCATGCTTTAGCAAGCATAGTCCACGCCGGGCCATGGTTGTGGCGTTTTGGGACAAAGCTAGGAAAGTGCAAATACTGACCATTCCGTCTAGGTTTGTTGCAGATAGCTCTACTTATCGGTACATCCTTCCTGCCTTCTAACAACATGTCCAAATACGGCAAACTATCATCGTGCTCATCTTCCGTTATCACCGTAATTTATTGTTACCGGCCATTTACATTTTTAATTATTTTATTGGAGCGATTCTTTTGTTTACAAATGAGCAGGATGTCCAAATACATGCGAGAAAACAACGCTTGGTTAAGTTCCTGCCTAGCTTGGTATTCGGGGTGAACAAACAAAATATCCTCCAGCACTGGTCCGAGCGGACTGCCCATTGCGACCCAATCTACCTGTCGATAGCCTTGTTGGTTAAACTGAATGTTTACCTTCAATGTGCAAGGAGTAGTTGGCTTACCAATTGAGAGACAGGAATGGTTATTTCCAACTGACCCACCGTCCTATATTAACATATAGTTAAGATGGTCACAGCCAGTGGCAACGTTGTGCAAAGTGTGACAATCCCAAGGCAGGATATGGCCTTGCATTGCAGCTCTATGCTGCTTGGTAGTTGCACTAATTCATATATTTCTTATAGACTGCACTTAACTATTGACTTCCTGACTGGCTCAAGCCTCTTGGATAAACATCAAGGTATCTTAGGTTGCAGCGCTTTGCTCATAGATAAAATCGGTTTTAGTGGCACACCTTCCTTGCCTACTGTTGGCAACACATAGCGCTGAGATGTTCTCACTTCTTGGGTCCCACGGCTTTAGTGGTTCTGGCTTTAACAGAGTTTTTTCAGCAACGATCGTAACCCAGTGGTTATCCTCCTCTTTAATTTAGCTGGGTAATCAGACGTATGTTCTAGCCTTAACTGGGTGCACTTACGTTTGCTTATGTGTGGCAGGACGTGGTGGGCTTTTGTCTGGCCGAAGTTAGACCTATAAATGCCACAGCTGTCTGCTATCAACACTGTGTTGTGCCGGATAGGACTCGCCCGTAGCTAAATTTGCTGCCACTTGGTTATCCGAGTAATGCTACACGACCCACCGACCTCCTTCTTTCATTTTCACACTCTTGACGATAATAAACAATCATAATACAGCAATACTTACAAGCTCAACACACGTGGCTACCTACATAGCAATTGGTTGGCGGCATCTGGTTCAGGATTTGCCTGTCACTGAGGCCAACAACAGCACATATGCGCTTACAGAAAGTCCATGAACGGCTTTCGTTGCACTAACCACAGCTCCAACCACACACCTATATCCAGTGTAATTTCGAAGGAATGAGACCGGAAGGCATGCGGACGGGAGCCATGTTTCTTCAAAGGAGTCGGCCTACACTCCTTCAATGGTAACCGCAAGCAAACTGTATTTGGAGTGCAATCGAACATAATGCGGTGGCTGAACCGTAGTCTGCTCCACACTGAGTACATAGAACTACTATTCGGCCTAGCACGACCAAAAGGACCGTGCACCTCATCCGCTCCAACAACGATCAACTGTCTCCTGGATACAGTGTGGACGAAGTAGTGGATGCTAGCCAGACAGGCAACTTGGTACTATGCACATCAAGCGCAGCTACACTAGGGATATCAAGAAACAGGCAATAACTTGCAACGAAAAGCTGAAATAAAATAAATCCACTTTTGCACAGAGATCCTGTGACATAACTTGTAGGTAAATTAGCATATGAAGCAAGTTGGTTAGCAACGAAGCTGCCATAAGGAACAATATTCCACCAGTTACTTAAAAAGCTACAAACGCAACAAAGTTACCGAAGATAAGCGCACTTAGCTTAAGTAACGTGCCCAGCTACAGACAGAGTACTAATGTAAACAGAACAAAGCAAATAAAGTGGAAGGGAAGTTAGCTAGCCTAAAAGGACCTACTTTTAGTGTAAGTTGGTTTAGCTCAATCGCGGTGAAGGCACACCACGAACGCAACACCAGCCTCAGAAGGAGGTACTATATTTTCATATGTATATACACCCATACCCGTATGTTAACTGCTATGTAACATGAATTTTGGTATACTGGCAGTCCGCTCGGACCAGTGCTGGAGGATATTTTGTTTGTTCACCCCGAATATCAAGCTAGGCAGGAACTTAACCAAGCGTTGTTTTCTCGCATGTATTTGGACATCCTGCTCATTTGTAAACAAAAGAACCGCTCCAATAAAATAATTAAAAATGTAAATGGCCGGTAACAATAAATTACGGTGATAACGGAAGATGAGCACGATGATAGTTTGCCGTATTTGGACATGTAGATAGAAAGCACGAACGATGTACCGATAAGTAGAGCTATCTGCAACAAACCTAGATGGAATGGTCAGTATTTGCACTTTCCTAGCTTTGTCCCAAAGCGGCACAACCATGGCCCGGCGTGGACTATGCTTGCTAAAGCATGAATATTATGCAGGCCTGACACGCTCCAGAACGACATACAACTGCGCACCAACACCGCGACAAGCAGCGGATTACGGCCTGTTTTCACATAAAGATAACAACCAGACAGCAGACGAGAAATTACTCACCGCACCGAAATTGAATGCAATACTGCAACTACCGTTTAAGTGGGAGATATAAGCTAAGTATTTTAAATACTTCCGAAATCTGCAGAGACACGCTTGTACCCTGCGGTGGTATTACTGTACACAACAACTCGCATCCATACTCTGTCAGTTAATCCACCAGTATTTCTAGCCAGAAGTTCACACGTTCTTTATCAATCTACATCGGTTGCAAGGCCGAGTAAGTTGGTAGGACAGAGCCGTAGCTGCTGGTGAGATTGGCGGAGCATTTGCCAAAGTGATTGAGACGACACGTCTTGCATTCGACGTCAAATATCGCCTTAGGTGCAAACGATTTGCCACACAATTTTCCGACCTTGTCAATCTCCCGACACTTAGACAGAGAGACAACGTGGGCCCTGCGCGCCCAGTCCGGTTGAGCATAGCGTCAAACAACACTTTCGTTTTACAATGTGGCGAAGCAGTGACCATCACACAACTGGACCACATCTTTTGTGTGCAAAAGGATGCATTTATCACATTGGCTCTGTCATGGTAGTAGGCCAGCTGACAAACGAACAATTGTGTGTGCGCACCTATGAGTGTTTTGTTGTATGTGCTTTGGTAAATTTGCTATCGCAACAATGCCAAAAGCTCATGTTGCTAAATATATTTTTGTGTACGTATTTTGCGCTGATTCCTTGATAAAATACAGAGAAATGTTTCTGGATATATATCTTATTTGTGCAATGTTAATGTCTTTTGATTAACCTTATCTCTTGAGTATTTTTTCTTGTATTTGCCGGAAGTGTTTTACTGTGTGGTAGTCATGTTCGGCTCTTTCTTCTGCATGGACGACGTGGCTTTTTATTTCCCGACGTACCTGCTTCTGTGCAACCTATTTTCCCCTATGTAGCTTTAATAATGGCTTTTTGTGTGTGACACATTTTTTGCTCTTTATTTATATTGTTTAAGCATATTAAATTTATGTAGCACATTCAGCATTAAGCCAAACTCTTCTGCTTCATTTCTATGTCCGCCTTTACTTTAGTTAAACCCATTTGCTCTTTATTGATAACAATGGGCCTATCTAAACCGTCTGAGCACTATGTTTTAATGCAACACTTATTACTTCTTCGAGTGAGTGCGGTCTGCCCGAACTAATTGTGTGGATTTAATGGGACCAGGACTCTCACATCTGGCGGGAACGGGTTTGCGGGCCAAGATCAACCGGCACAGCCGGGAGTATAATGGTAGCGTAGGATACTGATATGTAGTTAAATAATTTGTAAACATTATAAATAAACCAGTAGCGGATGTATAAAGGAATCGGGGTCCTGTAGCTTTTATAGTACTATAGTTTACCGTAACCTTGGTACCAGGTGCCCGAAGTTTCAAATTTCATAAATGGGTCTAAATTGGACCTAGGTTATTGGATAAGTAAATAGTGCACTCAGCTAGTCAGAAAATGCAGAATAGCCACTTTAAGGTAGTATCTAAAGAGTGATACACTTAAATTGAAGTGGAAATGAATATTTTGCTTACCTCACATGCTCCTATGTGATTTCTTTTTGGAGAAACGACTGGGCACAATGGTTGGCGTACTTCGAGAAATAGGTGGAAAAGAACGGAAATGACTGTGAGAATAATATGTAAATAACGGGGTAAACGGATGTGGCGCGAATAGGCAAATAACCATGCGATATGCGCATACCTATTTACATATGGGACTTGTTACTGAATGCGTATTTATAAAGGAAAAGTAACGCGAAAGCGTCAGTTGCATATACGAATGCCTGAGGAGCAGTTAGTTAAGTGAGCTAAAGTGAAGGAGAAGTGAAGATGCATGTCGGTCCCTAGTCAATATGTGGTGGATAAATGCGCATAACGGCGGAATGAGCTTTCATAGGGTACATAAATGGTTGATGAAACCTATATATATATATATATATAACGTTGCAAAATTAGAATGCATATATTTGTAATTAAATATATGCATTCACTTTCAGACTGCATTATGTATGCATAAATGTACGCATTATTAACCTCAATCCCATATATATATGGATATAGGTTAATAAGGCGTACATTTATGTATACGGAATGCTGTCTGAAAGGTAATGCATATATTTAATTACAAATATATGCATTCCTAATTTTGCAACTTCAACGTGATTAGAAATGGTATTGCTCCTCCAATCTAACTATGCTTATATCCTTATGTAGAAATACATTTGTATGCGTGTTACGGTAACACTGATCATCAGTTCTATGACATTTAAGGGGACGGCACGTTATTAGTCCCCACTATGATTACCTAATGCAAATCCCCGCAACTGGACGTCAGTGGACCAACGTATACATTCTTTTCATTACAGAGATAGAAGTGACCTTATCCGTACGTAAATGAGTAACTAATTAAGTACGTGGCTGTCAGTTTTCATGGAGTTTAACCGGTATCTCTAATGGTGCATATCAAGGTGTCAGGAGTAAAGTAAGTAGGTTACGCATTTCATTAATAAGCTAATACCGTTTTATGATTAATACTAAGGAAAATTTATCACACCCAGTATATGCAGAAGTTATAGGAAGCATAGGGAATAATAGGATGGCAAAACGAAGAAGGAAAAAAATCAAGGAACGTTTTGCGATGTTTTCATACAAGTAGCCCACATATATACGCAAGACTATAGGTAGGTTTATGTTCCTGCAAACGTGACGGGTACGCAGTAAGGCCGTATGATTGCCTCACGGGTGGCATTTGTTTGTTCACTGAACCGCCCTCCAGTGTTGGCCGCGATTGGTTGCACGAGCGATGCATGGAAAAGTATCATGTGTTCTATAGCAGCGGTGTCATAAAGATCATTATACAGGTAGATATTTTTGACTTCACTGCGGTAAAGGAACGGCGCTTAGTAAGCCTATGTATGTTCTACAGAGAAGCCTAATTATGACCTACAGCGACAGTTATGTTATCGGCGCCAGGATGCTACATGAACGGCCTTCACTTATGCTAATTGGGTTCCATGATATTTGCAGCCATATGGGCTCTAGGGAGGCCTCATATACTTGCTGCACATGTCTTGAGGGCTACTTATTAGTAGTGCTATATTGGTCGCAGAGCATTGGTGTCGTTATCGAACGCAGCATAATCGCCGTCGTTGGAACGATTATCCTTAAATACGGGCGGGTACTAATACCATAATGGCCCAGCAGCGGCGGTATAGTAAGCACTGCTAACGAATGAAAAGGGAATGCATCTGCACGCCCATATAGGTCGCATAGAGGGCATTATTGTTGCCAGGAGGGAAGCCACAGTGGTAACCTTAGGCATTGGGACAAAAAGAACGTAAGTAATGGGCTTTGTCAACGCTACTGATATAACTGGGAGTCACATGGCTTTTAATTTGTTTCCGTCATTGCATGCAACTGCGTTGAATGCATTATGCTGAGTAATCGTGCTAATATGGAAATGGTAACGAAAAAGAGACACAAATGGTGCGCTGACGTCTGTACCGATTCCGAATATTCACGTCATCATGGGGAGCGCGTGAGGCGCTCTTGACCCACAACGTGCGAACACTGAGGAATGGTAAATGGAAATTTATTCCGTAGACACACATGAAAGCAATATGCATAGATGTAACGCGGGGTTAACTTACTCAATCACATGGAAGCGATGTAGCGCACCTCCCGATAGTGGAGTGTATGGTTCACGTCATCAATGTCTTAGACAAAATTACCAGGAAATGAAAGATAACGTAGTTCGGTGGTAAACGTTTGATAATTTTTCATTGCGGTGCCACCCATCAACTGGAGAAGAGGGTGCATACGGGCGACTGACCCATCGAAGGTACAAATTGCACCATTGATAAATTTTTGGTCTGCCATTGTCACCTACCTTGTCTAGAAGTTGATTTTGGAAATAGCATAGTGACCATAGCTGTCACATCGGAACCACAGTAATGCTGTGGTTTGCGGACAGGCGGATGAGATAAACCACACCAGCGGCCGCAGACTGCAAACAAAAATGTTAGCGCTAAACAACGTGCTTACCGGCTGCTGTGAGAATGCACTGCACACCTCTTGTATCGTTGCTCAAGGTTAATACGCAATGCTGGATGTCAATAAAAATGAAGTTTGGTCTCCGTTTGCAGTATTGAGTCACTGCAGCGTAAGTGAAGGTAACTTACCGGTTAATGCATCGGTTATCTCCTGTTCAGTTTTTGCTTTACAACTGTGTTTAGTAAAGACCAATGCATGGCGCTATAAATGATAAGTCGTAGCTAAAATGTTTGTTAGTGAAGCGGAAAAGCGGGAATGTAGCTGCTGCGCTGTCGGAAAATCAAGCGATAGGTTACGACAGCACTCGCACACAGTATTAAAGTGGACTGTCCAGTACGTTGTTCGGTGGATGCTTACGGATCCACGTAATGCACCTATGTCCCAGTGCTCCAACCGTTGAAAGCCGTCGGGTGTATAGATGGTGCTTGCAGAGGGGAAACGCAAGGCTATAGAACAGACAATGGACCTGAGAAGGGCCGTGAGGTCGTTCACGCAGACATGGATAATGACAACCAGTTAGACTTCGGAAAATCACGTGCAATAGATACTTACTATCGGGGAGCCAAGGAAACTCATACCACATAGCGATCACATAAGTGACAAGTGCTATGAAATCAGAGTACATACACTGAAATCGCTTGCCTGTTTAAAGCGTAGGCTGCAGTGTTACCGAGGACGCTGGGTACGGCAGCGGCATTCAACGGATCCGGGAATTGTTACAGTTTCTGTTGTTAGGTAAGTGAATGAAAGAAACACACTTACCTGTCATCATGATGACAGACGTTACGGCTGGTTGCGATGTCGTCGGAGGCTGCTACACAACAGGGCGACGTGGGGAAGACGTGGTGAGTAGGTTCAATGGGCTGAAAACAGAGTGTATGCATTTAGGGCACCTGCCTGTGAAAATCTGTGGCCTCAGTGTGACTGCGGACGCTGGGTAAGGCCCAGTGGTGCGGATCAGCTGGAAGAGCTTGACGTAATTGCCTACTGCTCCAGCCTGCTACATTCCTTGGGCCCAGCGGTGAACCAGGCTTCCTTGTCAGCACCTACGCTATGTTTTACTTCCCGCCTAATAGGCCGACTGGTCACTTTGTGCTCATAGCCAGCTTGCAGGTTTCTTCTAGATTCCAACAGGTCCACCGACCTCTCGGATATAGTGACTGGTGCCGTGACCGTTAAAAGTGCCACAACCAGGTGCTCCGGCATCCTGCATGGCGGCGGAAATGCTATGCCGCTGAAGGTCAGTGTCATAAAAACGAGACCGCAAAAGTTCGGTATGCAGTGTGGCTTGATAGGCTTGCCTGAGCTAGGGGAGAAAATTTTTAGTTACCAATCGGAGGGGACCCCTGGTGCACCTCCCGGTAAAGTTCATGGAGAAATGACAGCGTACCAAGGCATGATGATAGTGGACACAGGTACTCCAGTACGACCGGCAATGCTGGATGGAAGCACGCCATCTTTAACTTAAGGGTATGTGGTCAACTTGGGCCCATCGCTAGCCAGATACAGGAGGACGCCAGGTGGCACTTCGCAGCCCACTGCGTCGTAAAGCATTGCTGCTAAGAAACAACGTTGTCCGCACAAAATTGTAGAAGACGCTCGGCATTGTCAGTCCGTTCGCTTTCAGTCCCAGTGCTTATGCATAGTGGCGTACCACAAGGCTCCGTTCTGGGACCGGAATCGTTCAAGATATATCAATGATCTACCCAGTATGCTACAAACGGACTGTCTGATCTATGCAGACGACCTCAACCTATGGTCAGAAGTGTCCAGCCTCGAAGACTCCGACCGATTAAACGAAACGCGTGATCTGCCACACTCTTGGTCTTTCAAGTAGGGTTTGCCGGTCAGCAAAGATAAGTGCTCAGCCCTTTCTATAAGTGTTGCTAAACCACTGAGCATGTATCACACTGGCGGGTACCTACTCAAGGTTGCCACAAAGAAAAAGGACCTGGGCACAAAAATTTCTTCTGATCTCAAAACGACCCTTGACACGTTAAAGAGAACTGCTGTGGCGAACAACATGTTGGGCTTCATAAGGATATCATTCTCTAAAAGGACGCCGCACTTATTTA